TGTCGTAGGAGCGCCTTGCTTCGAAAAGTCGCGTTGTACTGAAGCAAATTGTTGATATCTCTCACCCAGTCATCTTCCTTCCCTGGGCCGACGCCTTCCCTGCTTTCGTCGGGGTCCGCTATTGAGGAGCGATTGATGCATGGTATTGGGTATAGAGATGCTTGGACAGTCACCGATTCGCCAGGGCTGAGAACATGAGATATCTGTCCGTCCATTGATAGACCTGCCGACGCACGGCTCCGGTCACCGATCTATCAGGTAAAGCGATGTGGAGGGGGCGAGTAAATGAGTACCCTGAAGGGGAAGTTGCGGCAGAAACTCACTCTGAGTGTGATAGATGACGAGGATGGGAAGACTAGCGGTCGGAACGACAGACTGCGCGGACAAATGGGAGTCAACACGATCGCGCTCAGAGAAGGGTGCACTATTGGTCCACCGGCAGAAAGCGAGTAAGCCGTCGACCCTGTGGGTGTAGAAACAATCAAGCCGTCGGACTACTTGGATTATCAGCAGTGTATCACAAATTGTTATGCAGAAGTGCTTCACGTACCACAGCCTCTGTTAGATGCTGCCCGTCTACAAACACGTCTATAGTGTTGAGGTGCGGACTAGATCCACGGTGCAGGGCGATTTCATTCATCACCTGCCACTCTGAGCATAACCTCGCCGTCAGTAAATCACTTTCCTCGAGGTAGGGCTTCCACTCACCCTCGAAATCTGTCCCTATTTGAGTCCCACTTTTATCCATAAACGTACAGGAGAGACGCATTCGATGAAGAACCGCCGCGCCGCCCTCAAAGGCACTGTCAATAGCTTTCGCAAAATCATCGACATCTAATGTAGGTGGTTTCAGTTGAGGAGCTTCTCCTCCGACGTGTATGGCGACTTACGGAACGGTAGCAGGAAACCAAGGGTGCCCATGGAGAAACTTAGCACAGGCGGGACAGCGCCCACTTTGAACAACGAAGATGCGTGCAGTATGGTACCATCGCCTCCTAATGTCACCACAAGATCTATCTTCTCCGCGTTGGGACCTGTGCTCTGCGCATGAGGATCCACGGCTCGGGAGAAGTGTGAAGCGGCCGCGACGCCTTACCTGGTCGCCAGACATGTACGCCTTCAGGTATATCGGGACGGTCTTCGTGATAAACTTTCACGTCTGGGTATTTCTCCCATATGTAGCTATACAAATAACCATCAACTACCACGTCGGTGCAATAAAATGATAAGCTGCGCACCTGAGCAATGCCTGTATAGCGTCTACCACCGGCTTCGTCCTAAGCTTATTGACTAACAACACCGATTTTGGCGGTCCAACGAGTTTGCCTGTTGTGGGACTATCTTCAACTAGAACATCATGACGTGTGTCGTAATGACAGCAAAAACGCCACGTACGTGGAAGGACTAGCAGTAGCAGTGGGCTGTTCAGCCACAGTGTGCAGTCGTCTGCTTCGGCCAATACATCGGGTCGGTGCCACTAGCGGGCGAGATGACAGCAGTATCCGGGCTAAAGGTCGAGACAGTTTGCGCCCGGAAAGTAGCTTTGATGTTGATGGCAATACTGAAAGTCTTCGTTGCATGTTGGCTGCGATTGCGCAGTGGAAAGGTGCGTTCAAGGAGTAGGCTTGCAATAGGTTCCAATGCAGTTTTAGGAACTCGAGAGGGTTATGGTCTCGGTGCGGAGGATGTTGTACTCGAGGACATGAAAGACAATCCGAGGAGTATGCTGGGATGACCGGAATAGCAGAGATGGTCTACGTCGTCGAAGGTGCGGAAGGAAGAGTCCGATCGACCAAAGACACTACTGTTATTAGTAGCGCTCGCTGCTCAGTTACGTAACGACCTTCCAAGGTCGACTTGGGGTTGTAACTTGTGAGCTGTTGTCGGTGAACGAACTCATTATATTTACGATACACGAGACTGGTATACAACGGTCGCATCAAATACAACATAAATCCATGCTCTGCCAATAGTCCTTCGACACTATATAAGATCCCTATGCGTCCATGGATGCGAGCATGTCGAACATCCCCCGACCCTTCGTAGTCGGCTTGCCTTGTCGTCCGTTGACTGCTTTCGCCGCAAGGTGGCCATTCTGAATCCCGTTGCTTGTAACGTCCTTTTTGCGCTTCTTCTTCTCTGATTCAGCGAACGCGTCATCGAGACCCTCAACAGCGGCATTCCACACAGCAGGGGACACGGCATCTGAAGGAACAGACGCCGCGTTGGTGAGGAACGCGTGGAAGAGCTGGCCGGAGTAGTGAAGGTCGGGGAAAGGAATGCGTTTCTGCAACAGCAGAACTTGCGAGAGCCGAAGGATAGCCGTAAGAGCGTGGAAGGTCTGAGCAACAAGTTGAACGTTCCTGTCCACGATGGAGGGTAGTGTTTCGGAGTCGAGAACATCTTCAGCAGGAGAGTCACGGAACGAAGCGAGGAAAGCTTTGGCCTCGTGCTTGGTCCACCTCTCTTTGACCCGTTCCTTGCTGCTATTCTCCTTTGCTCGGAGGTCCATAGTAAACACAGTCCATCGGAGAGCCAGCGCAATGAGGATGTGAGAGGGTGGAAGAGATCGGACGGCAGGCAAGTCGGAGCGGAGGACGCGAAGGATAAAGGTGAAGCGGGCTTCTTCAGATTGCAGTTGTAGAGGGATACCTGAGCGAGGAACGTCGTAATGTCTGCAGACACTGGAGATAGATGGAACCAGAATCTCTTCCGGAGCCATTCGAGTGCCACGACGCAGGTACTCAGTTACGACCTTCTTCCGCTTCGAGGACGGACGAGGAGCGCTCGAAGACGCGACAGAAGATGATGGCTCGGTCATCACATCGTCCACCGAGTCGTCAAGCTGCTGAAGAGCACCGCGCAAGGGAGCCAACGGGTCCTCCTCGTCCGATTCCTCCACGACATCGATCAACTCGTCGTCGTCTGATTCATCATCATCCGAGGACTCGTCATCTCCAGCTCCTGGTAGGTCGAACGCATCATCTAAGAGGGCATAGACGATCTCGTGAATAGGCCTAGCGATGGTCCGACCGACGCATTCATAATCTGGATTTTCGAGGGATTGCCTGTACCAGAATGTTCCTGTGTGTACGACATCCAGAATTCGAGGATCCAGATCCCCCTCTCTGTAAGCGGCAATGTATAGGTCTCGTAGAGTTGTGTCGCCCCGAGACTCAACATCCGAGTCTGTATCGGGAGTGTCCTGTGAAGGACTAGAAAGGTATTTGACCAGCACACAGTCTTCTGCGGCGTGCAAAGGGCAAAGGGGTGATATCCATAGGTCGGGTAATTCCTGTTTGGGTATAGCATACTGCAAAGTAGCTTCAACGATGCGCTCGACTATCCTCTCCCGTTCGCCAGAAGACAGTGTGTCGGTAGAACGAACGGTGAGGGTGGCAACAGCTCGCTCAATGAGCTGCATGACGCTGTTCACTTGTATCTTTTGCTTGCCTTTCGCGGGCGCAAGAAGGGCAGCATCCAGGATGGAGCGAAGCGTGGTGGCAACGCGAGTCACTCGCTGGGACAGAGTAAGCTGACGCTCGAAGAACAGCCACTGCAAGTTGGTCTGTTGAGAGGTGGTGACAGACGTATCCTTTCCACCTGTGAAGTCATTGCCAACAAGTGCTCCAAGGAGGGGTAACAAAGATATGGGTATCTTGAGGTGCGTGGCGAGCCTAGCTGGCGAATAGATGGTGACAGACAAATGTAGGTCGCGGCCGCTTTCCGGAGGTATGAGCCCTGTCTGGGTCTCTCTCTGCTTCTGAGCCCTCTTACGAGTTTTGGAAACGACCGTCTGGAACTCCCCGTCGCTTTCGCGCACATTCACAGATTCTTCGTCTGCGGTGAGGGCCGTCCACACCATCTCGCCAATGGGAATATAGCCTTTATATCCATCGGTGTTGAGAATGACGAAGTCGGAGTCGTATCCAACGACATAGGCTTCTAGTCTGCCTGCCAACTCCACCGAAAATGGGTCTCCCTCCACATCTGCGAAATGTAGCTGGAGTGAACTATCGGCAGCACCATTCAAGGAAGCCGCCAGACGGGCAAGAGTTTGGACGCATGTGGGGTATGACAGTGGAGGTAGCATTGACAACTCGTTGAGGAATCTTGGTCTGGAGCGAGAAGCGGCCGAAGTGCGAAAGAACAGGAGAGACCCCTGGACAGCCGTCTGGGTAACACGAGATGAAATAGTCGGGAATTTGAGAGCTGGGTATGGTCCTACGATTCGGAAAGCTTGAGCATTCACAAATGAACGCGAGTCGTTCTATCCGACGACGCACCGTCAAACACAAAATGCACCTTGAGCCCCATGTCTAACCACGCCCGCACTGTCGCCTCCACAAGCTTCGCAAATTGCTCATACTCCCCTCCATAAACCCACGGCAATCCAGATGCTCCGACAATCTCATAGATGAACCTGCGAGGAATTGACCATGAATATTCGCTCAGAGTCGGTGAAGATTGAAACTCACGACCAGCCGTCTATGACGAAAGTAGTGGACGTCTCAGACGCAGAAGTCACTGAAAACTGAAGGCTTTCCTTTCCGAGATCGAAGCGTAATGCTCGGCAAGATAGGTCGAAAGTCCATGGACGCCCATCTAGATGAGATAATGTATCGTGGTCAGGGGAAAGCGAGTGAGATTGGCAACGGCATGCGTTGCAGCAACGAGTGGAGTGGAATAGGGTCGTTATAGAGTTCCGCAAAGAAGGCTGTTGCAGGTATTAGACCGCCTTCAAGTGCTCGGAGATCCGCCGTCGAGTTAGCGCTACAGCACTGTAATTCAATCAGCCGCCAGATGCCATACGCCATACACTGTCTTACCAACGAGAGGTGCACGTTGTTCAGCTCGGAAGTTGCGAGCGGGAGTGGTGAGTGGTTTTGACAGTGTAGGGCAAATGTAAGGCCCGCAGAGGGCCCCGGACAGCCTACTTGGTGAGCTGCATGAGCACCCCAAGAAGAGCTCATGAACTGTTGAGAACGACACATCGTCAAGGCGATATGGCCGAGCGGTCTAAGGCGCTAGAATCAGGTTGGAACCGTACAACGGTCACTTGCATCTAGTCCGAAAGGGCGTGGGTTCAAATCCCACTGTCGTCATACTTTTACTTCCTTCGTCTTGGTGACTTCTTTTCTTTATCTTTCAAAGGTCTTCACATTTTTGCAAAAAGTTTTGTGCATTTATTGCGGTGAAAGAGGTCTCTTTTGCGACTCTGTTGAAGAAGGCAGCGCTTATTGGCTGATCGCAGTGAACGTCTTCGACTCTCCCCTCTCTGACCATGACATGCTCATGTATCCTGCAATGCTTGCCATCGAGCCCTCGTATCTCCTGACGTGCACATCAAAAAACGTATTTGTACTCCAGGCATCCTTATAGCGAAGCAAGGCTATTGCACCAGGGTTGCGACATGCGCTATCGTGGTCACATGCATGTAGCGCAACGTCCTCCCACAATACTGTATCTATGTTTGGATCGCCATCGAGGGCCCACAGAAAACGAGTGGGCTTGCTTCTTGAACACCGTCCCTCAAGCACCCGCCCGGTCTCGAGAGTTGAGTCGTATTCTTCGACAGTCTATTTCCAAGATGGCGGGTGGCATTGCAGAAACTCAACCAAAGGCCTCTCTGATCCCCCCACTCGACGACTCGTTGTTGCGATTATCGGAAGCGGAACATGCGTTCCTCCGCGCCGCTATCTCTGACGACGAGCAGGAGTTGAGAAAGAGAGTTCTCGACGTACAGAAACGGTGAGCTTACACTTGATGATCTGTGACTAGCATATGCCTGACTGCCCTTGTCCTGTCCGAGTCGATAGAGCATAGTGAGCATTCGCGTTGACATGGTTGCAGCTCTGCGATCTTACGCCTTGATTACAGTGAGAAATACCCATACCCATGCATTCGGGGATTCCACCATGTCAATCTCATGATGTCCAAGAACGCCGTCTACCATGAAGTCGTCGAATCCGGGAAAAGCGGCAACACCACGTTCTTGGATCTCGGCTGCTGCAGTGCGTTTTGATTCTAGTTTTGATCTACGTGTATACTGACAGTGCTGTGCAATCGTACAATCCAGTGGGGACTGATGTTAGGAAGCTCGTATACGACGGATACACCGCGTCCAACGTGGTCGGTGTCGACCTTCGACAAGAGTTCATTGACCTCGGCTACGATCTCTACCGCGACCGCGATACCTCGCCCATTCGCTTCTTCACAGACGACATCTTCACCGTCTCGCCAGACTCGACAAAATTCCAGGACAGCGTCGAGTTTTCGCAAGCGACGAAGTTGACCCAGCTTGGTGGCAAAGTCTCCCACTTTTACCTTGGAGCTTTGTTCCATCTGTACGATGAAGACACGCAATTTCAGATTGCATTGGCTGTTGCTACTCTTTTGAAACGGGAGAAAGGCAGTATTGCATTTGGAAGGCATCAAGGATTTGAGAAAGAAGGGCTCGTTGATGATCATCTTGGACGGTAAGTCTGTTCAGCTTCGTCCACCTTCTGACCTCACTCATTGCGGGTGTAGGACTCGGTATGCGCATTCTCCTGAATCTTGGACAAAGATGTGGAAGCGCGTGTACACGCAGCTCGAGTCGGCAGAGTATGCAGGGACCAGAGTTGTTGTCAACGCAGAGCTTGATGCAGGCTTCGGGAAAGAGATCTTCAAGACCAAGACGCCAACTACTATGCTGTATTGGAGTGTGAAGATTATATAACCGTACCAAGTGCGACTGGGATCGAAATACAATGTCAGATACATTTCAATTGACGTACAGAATCGATATGCGGAGACACTTCAGCTCGGGATCGGGAAGATCTGGATGATTCTCTCGATCTTGTCCAGATAATGATCACCAATGAATGCCGACACATCCACAACATCTAGTGGAGGCGGAAAGCAGGTTTCAGGAGTGATGTGAGCCGGCGGGTCACTGAGAACTATCGTCAGATCCATTGTACCCTCAGAGAAAACCACGGCTACGTACGATAGTCGGTCGACATAACCTTCAGGATCGTCACAGAATGCCGCAAAGTCGCATACGAGCTCCACAGACTGCTGTCCTGCAGAAGCGCTTTCGCCGTCGTACGGTGTCTCATAGAACAGATAACGACACGCCGACGTGTACTCATCCTCAGCTGCAGGCTGTTCCTGTCCCAAGTAAAGCGCAAAGTAGAGTCGCAACTGATGATTCAGTCGTGGTTGATAATTTGGCGTCTTCACTATCATCTTGAAGGAGTCTTGTACTCCGGTGTGATGGATATCCTATGAGTGTCGTCAGACGAAGTGAAAGAGAATAGGGCACGCCACAGACCATGTGAGCTAAGTTGTTCACGATCCACCGAAAGTCACCGAAGACTGAGGGTGCCTCCTTCAGGAAAGTTTGAGCAGCCGTGCGTTCTGTTCGGTCCAACTGATGGATTTGACCGGTCTTCTCAATCTTCTCTAGGGTTTTGACCAATCTCCGGCGTTGTCGCTCTAGACTGGCTAGCAAACACAGCATGTCTCGTATTTGAGACCCTAGGCAACTCGGATGCGCTACGCGGCGAGCAGAGTAGAGTAATATATGATATGGTGGCTTCGTGGGTTTGTGGGTCTCGGCTTCGTGGGTCTTAGCTTTGCCTGCCACATAGTCTACAAACCAATCACATTCAACGGATATCCAAGGCGGCGTATTGTGACTGGGCAGCACCTGTACGCACCGTAAACTTTACGAATTGTACCGTAGGACGAACCCGCGAGCAGGTCTGTGGTGATCTTTGAGTAGCGTCAGCCTTTCTTGTTAGTGGAGCAGAGCAATATTATGTACCTGCGTAGTGGCCTGAGATCCCGCTACAGGCATGGCTGAGTGCTTCAATCCCACGTACGTGAGCCTCATATCGAATTTCAACAATTTGGCAAAGCAGCGAAGTGAACTTACTTTTACTACCAGTACGCGTCTCGAGTCTTACAAGCTCACAGCTTCATGTGTCGGGCACCGCAAAGTTTTCAGATCTCGAGCGGTGAGGAACGGTTTGGCATGCAGCTGTCGTCGAAGGTCGACGTTGACATCCGACCTCAACTTGTTGGCCACACTCAAAGTGAACGCGTCGCGTCAGAGTCGCGTCCACATGCTACACGTGATTCAGACGCCCATTCTCAGCCATCCTCACTCTCAGTCTCGCCAAATTTATTCCTGGCCTTCTTCTTTCCGAATTCCTCCTTTCCTTCGTCATCCCATTTTTGGGTACAGTGCAAGGCCGCAGTCATGCAGTCATGTTCGCCTTCTCATCACAGCAAGAGCCATTAATGGGCTTCGAAAGGAATGCTTGAACGGTTGGACTGAGCAGAGTCGTAACTTCACATTCCTGTACGACGCAGCGGAGTGCCAAGAACCATGGATACGTTCCAATGGCAATGTGATTCAGGTGAGACCGCCTCCCGATGCGCCTCGAAACTGCCCTGATCGGCACAAATTGTCGGCTTTTCTTAGACACCTTCCGCTCTTGCATCGGGCCCGCCGCCGTCGCTAGGCTGCAAAGTCTGGCAAGCAATTCCTGTCATCTCCAAGAATTCTGGCTGCCGTCACGTCCGTTCAGTGTTATGCGGCTTGTTGCCGTCGGTTCTGATTCACATTCGACCTTCCCCATCTCCTCCACGGTTTACATGTGCATCTCATGGTTGTGGCGGCTCCTTATCAGTGGCGTCTCCCTTGTTGTCACACTCGGTGCATTCAGTCGTTGTAAGATCTCCGTGTTGTCCTGTTATCGACCCAAACTCATGCTAGTACTCAGCCGACGGCCCCCATATCTAATTTCATCTTGTACACTTTGGGTGTACTGTACCTCAGAGCCATCTGGTTCAAACCTTTCGGGCGAAACCAGGGCGTCTTCAATACGATCGAAAGGTCCCGTCGCAGAATGTGTAATACAGGCTATACGTGAAAATTTTCAGTGGCTTCGCCCGGTTGGCCCAGTGCATTCCGGTATGCGGATTTCGTCATCCGGACCCAAGAGCTTTCAAGCCCAAGCAGGCTCAAGCTCGGGAACCTGATCAGGGTTCTTCCACCTGAACTTTCCGAGTGCTCTCATAAATACCGAGCTCGCACGATCGACGCCCATGAATCGACGCCCTTATATGCCTCTCCCATCCTCAGCAGCTCGAACTGGGGAGCGACATCACTGCTCTCCGTGTGCGTCGCCTCCGTAGCTGAGACGTACGCCCGATCATGGTGCTCAATAACGACCTCGCGGCCATCATTGGTTTTGGCTGCGAGGCGTTGGTTTATGGTGAGCATGGCCACAAAGCGTCACAAGAGATGTCGTCTCTAACTTCAGCTACGCAGGCATCTACATCGTGATCTACGTTTTGTCAATGGTGTTCCTTCATAGCGCACGACGGAGTCGTACCAACCAGCTGATGTCCATCTTCACCACCCTGTTATTCGTGTTGTGTACGACCCACTTTGCTTTGGAGTTCAACCACTTCTACACGACTTTGGTACGTTTGTGCTATATGAATCCGCGGATTCTCAAGTTGAAATCGTGCATAGCAATCCACAGGTGTAGAGGGATTCGCATCGGAGACCAATGAGCTGTTTGCTGCGGACATTCTCATCTCCCTCATCGATTTCTGCGGAGACATTGTCTTGCTTCATCGGTGTTGGCTGGTGTGGGGGAAAAATATATGGGTGGTGGTTTTGCCGTTTATGACTGCTGTCGGCGGGTTCGGTATGTCCAGTCAAATTTCCTTCCGCTCTTCTCGTTGTCTGAACTCTTTGGCATTCAGTGTGCGGTATGACGGGGCTCGGAATCTTGATGAACATAGACCCTACAGCCCCTCAGGCACCTCCGGCAGTACGACCCCTTGGTACAGCAGCGTTCTCATTGCCTCTGGCGACCAACTTTTTGGTCACAATTTTTACCGTTGTCCGTCTTTACATGCTGGCATCCAGGGCGCGCAGCATCACAACAGACAACGTCTTCAACACCACCGCATATGTTACCAAGGCAGCTACCATCATCATCGAGAGCGGTATGCTCTACCTCATTGCGCAGCTCGTCTTTGTGATTCTTTTCGCCATCGGACATCCCGCTCAGGGCATCGCAGCTGTCGTCGCTGT